AATTGCAAATTGTAGTGTTTTACAGAACTACAATCTGCAAGATGGGGAAAAATGTTTTATACAGATATGGTAGCTTACAGATAACAAAACTGATGATATGCTTGCATGAATACTAGTCATTGTCCTTAGTATTGAAATAGCAGAATACCAGGTGGTTACAGGTAGGTTCTTGATAAGCATTAAAACTTTTGGAGTTTTGCTTCTTGAGACTTAGGGGGTGTGCATTGGACCACTTCCATCAAAATGTTAATGTACCTATCTACTGCTTCAGCCTATATCCACCGCTAAAAGTGCCCAGCTATTTGATGATTATCTATCTGTGGAGTGCTATCGGCACATGTTTGGTTAGTAATCTCGCGCCCAACATATTAGGTTTGCTTGTATTGGTAGAATCACAGTTACAGTTTGCAGTGACAGTTTGAGAATATGCATGCCAAAACCCTGCAAGTTCCTTCGTAGAGGTCTGATACTTTCTCAAATTGGAAGGAAGTTGTGATAGTTTCCTGGACTTGCAGTAATGATCTAGCTTAGATATAATCCAGCAAGGAAGTACTAGTGTGCCGCAACATTGATTAATTTAGTTTTTTCCCATGGCTTGTGTCCACTTCCAGCTTGATGCTAGAATGGGGCTGACCCATTCTCAGCGGTTCATTTTTCGCTTCTTCTAATCTTCAGAAACATCGTCATTTGGCTTCCGTTTATCCTGGTTGCCTTTTTCCCACCCTGACTAGCAGGAGAACAGAGCAATAGCTGTAGCATTATTTTGGAACTGAAAGGAAGCCTCTCCACATTTGAATTTCCCATTCCATACGAAATTCCTGCAGACTTCAAGTTTCGAAATGGGGATGGGTAAACTACCAAAGGCTGTGGCTGCACCGCGTCCCTCACTGTCCGTTTCTTCACACCTGCTACATTCAGTTTGAGGACATTTCCGAAACACAAAATATGATACTCCCTCCGTTCATAAATATAAGATGTATTAGCTTTTGGCCACATTCTACACGTATCAAATGTATCTAGACATGTTCTAGTGTGTACATTCATTCTTTTTAGTATGAATCTAGACAACATGTAGAACACCTAAAACATCTTATATTAAAAAACGGAGGAAGTATTTTCTTATTTACGGGGCATTTCTGAATTATTTGTAATATCCCGTCATATGGGTATATTTGCTTCCTTCTTGTTGGTCAGCTGACGTGTCTGTCTACAAATATGTCACGATCTGAACCACAAAAAATAGAATGACGCATTATCTAAAAGTAGCACCACCATGTACGCAGAGCCGAGCTGAATTTTTCATGGTGTATAGTACGCCTGGGCATCAGTTATATAGACGACGTTATGACGGTGGTGAACGTCTGAGTACCGCTGGAGGACTACGGGATGGAGGGTCTGGTCGCTGAAGCACCGGACTAAATTGCCAGCGGTGAAGAATGAGGCGTGCTGCATAGAGTATGAGATGATTGTAACACGAGGAACTTCTCCTTGCTTATAATTTTCTTATATGTAAGTCTTTGAAAGATGAGTGATGTTCACCCGCAAAAAGAAAGAAAGATGAGTGATGTTGTTTTTCCTCCATGATAATGCTTGCATTCTGATACGATGTGACTTGCGGTTTGTTCCTCTGTTCTGTTTCGGAAGGAGGTTCAAAAAGTAGATAAACGTAGACTTTTTCTTTTTGCATCTAAGATAAACGTAGACAAGGGATATGCACCAGGGGTGGCCCATCAAGAGGACCCGGATGAGCCCGGGGCAGGGGCCCGCAAGGCCCAGCAGAAGGGCGAACCGACTTGCCCAAGTTACGAAACTGAAAGTGGCCTAAAAAACCAATAATTCTACACCTACGTGGAGTTACGAAAGTTCAACGCAAATCCTTCTCGCTAATTATCTCTGACCCCTGATTTTAGGGGGGGTGGGCCCCATCCTCCTCTTAGGTCCAATAATAATCCTCCATATAAGCTTGCCCGTTAACTTACGTAGAATATCTTCGTAGGTCTAGCATTGCTCCTAAACAACTGTCTAGTAGGCCAAACAGCACACGGGCTGGCGTGCCGGTCCAATTAGCTAACGAGCTTCCACAAAAAAAAAAGCTAACCGGCCAAGCTTGGGCTGCTAGGTGCAGCAAGCGGCCGGGACCACCTATTTGACGCATTCTGCGTCCAAAAGTCATCCCTTCGCACAATATTCGCGCGACTGGGCCGATCCATTGGGATTGAACTCGTGCGAGCAAAGATTCGTAAAAAGAAAACTGCAGTTGAGTTGGAATTCGAAAGACAGACCTCTCGTGTGTGTACGCATCTTGCTAGCCACCACACCAACTGAGCCTTCGTGGGAAATATTTGGCTCGAATTCAAATGAACTAAAACAAGCGGCGTAAATTGAGCATTACATAAAAACTGTAAACACTGTTTTGAAATTACGAATACTTTTTGACAAACGCGAACCAAATTTAAATTTTCCGAGCATCTTTCGAAACTGCGAATAAATTTTAAATTCCCGAACATTTTTTGAATTTGCAACAAAAATAAAAAATTAAATATTTTGAAAATCCGAAATTTTTTCTATAACGCAAACATTTTATATATTTTCCGAACAGTCTTTTGTAAAATGCGAATAAATTTCCAAAGTCCAGAACATAATTTGAAAAGGCAAACGTTTTTAAATTGGTGAACAAAAATTGAAAACGAGTACAGCTTTTGAAATGCAGAACAAAATTTTGAATTTCAGAACAATTTGAAAATCTTGAAGATTTTTGTCTACGTGAACAAAAAATTGAGAATGGAAACATTTTTTGTAAAACACGAACAAAATTTCAAATTCCAGAACATTTTTAAATTGGTTAACATATTTTGAAAACAGGTACAACTTTTGAAATGAAGAACAAAATTTTGAACCTGAAAGCAATATTAAAACCCCAAAGCTTTTTTGTATATGTGAACAAAAAATTGAAAATGGAAGCATTTTTCGATAACTTCAAACTTTTTCGTTAAACATGAAAAAAACAATTCCATAACATTTTTTGAAAATGCAAACATTTTATAATTTGGTTAGTAAATTTGAAAATGGATACAGCTTTTCAAATGCAGAACAAAATTTCGAATCTGATACAATTTGAAAATCCCGAGGATTTTTTGTGTACAATTTTTTTTTTTGAAAATGGAATTTTTTTCTAAAATTTCAAAAAAGAAACATTGGTATAACACGAATTTGTTTTAAAACTTCAAATAATTTTTAAAATACGAAAATAAAATTGGAAACGATAAGAAAAATAGAATATTTGGAACAATTTTGAAATTGTACAATTAAAAGAGGCAAAAAAGGAGAAAAGAAAAAGTAAAGAGGAAAAAAAAGGAAGAAGAAGGAACAAAAGAAGCCGGTTCAGGAACCTTCTAGAAGGACCCCAGAACCGAGAAAACCGGCTAGGAATCTTCTGGAAGGTTCCCAAAACCGGAACTGCCAGCTATACTTCCATGTATGTGTAGATAGGCCGGCCCAATCAATCGCGCCCCTGTCCGTTTGGTCGACACTTTGACGCAGAGAGTGTCAAATAGGGTTTCCCCACGCGGCCGGCACGAGACGGCCCGTTTACTAATCGTGCCCCTGTAGGCCGTGCCGTGCCGGCCCGTTTTGCCAGCCATGTGGCGCCTATCACCCGCCAAACCAAAACCTCCGAACCCACAATAATGGCGGGCTCTCCCTCCCCATTTCCAAATCCCAAACCCTAACCCCCTCCCCCCACCACACCCCGTGTCCCCTCCCAATCCCACGACGCGGATGGCGCCGTCGGTGCCGAAGAAGAAGCGAAAGGTGAACCTCCCGGAGAACGAGGAGGTCGCGGCCAGCATCTTCGAGAAGCACCGCTCCATGGCGGCGCAGCAGCCGGCCGGCCTCCCGGACCACCAGGCCCGCGCGCTCTCCGCCGCCTACACCGGCGTCTGCTCCGCCAAGGAGCCCATCCGGACCCCCGGCGACCTGGCCCGTCTTAAGTGCGCATTTCCCCCATCTCTCTCAGGCCCGTTTCCGTTTACGCTGTTGCGACGAGGCTAGGTTTTGGTCGATTCCGGGGTCGTGTGATTTGGATCGGGCGGCAGTGTCGCGCTTCTGTGCCGTAGTCAGACGCGAATCGGAGAGGCTTATTTATTGTTATATGGTGTCACATTGCCGCTCGAACACGAATGGATCGGTTTATGATTTGGGCGCGTTAGCCCTGGGATCTTAGCTTTGTTTGGTTGATGTAGTGTGCCTTGGGCCTTAGGGGATTTTTACTTGTGCCGATTTGATCTGAGCATGCATTCCGTTTGCATAGCTGTGGAATTATAAGTGTCAGTTCCCATATGTTTATGTACTCTGCTGCATCCACTGATTTGCTGCTGGTGTATGCTGAAATCGATTTTGGCCATGACCGCTTTATATCTGGCGAAATGTATTCATACCACGTTTAAGCCACCATTCAACTTGGGATTTGCCTGCAAGTGGATAACCTATGAAGTGCTATAACAGTATACCAGCATGGCTTTAGTTTTGATCCATGTAGAACTCTGCACCTTTCGTTTTTCTTTTCTGTGTTGAATCGAGACGAGGAAATCACATACTAGATTAATGTGTGGAATGTATCTTCTACCAAATGTTACTTTCTACATTGAGTTGCATCAATTTTTCAGAAACTTTACATTTTCTGGATTAGTTTGATCATCGTTGTTGCTTCTTCGGTTCTATTATTTTTGTCAGGGGCGTTGGAGGTTGGGTTGTTGACGTCATGAAAGACTCCTTTCCAGGGTCCAGCCTTGATTCATCTCCTCCGAGAAGTAATACGCCAGGAGAAACGGGTACTAGTTTACAACTTTCCATGATTACTCGCGTGGCCTATAAATCTTCTCTTTCTTTTCTTTTCCATCATCAGGCTGACGTTTCTTCTTCCTCTTCAGTTTTCTCAACAGTTAGTTTAATGGAATAGGTTTTATTCATTATATCTTAAAGGGTACTGTCCTTTTATACAGGAAAGAAAAGAAAGCGAAACAAACCCTATGTGCCACAGCTGAATTCAGCTGCTTACGCAATAGTGATCACACTCTACAGGTATGATTTTCTTGGGGGTCTAAATTTTGTTATTCTCCTGACAGAAGTAGTAGCAACCTTAGGACAAAGAGAAGGTAGGAAAAGTTAACTGAATATGCAAGAGGAGATGCTCACAGTTGATTTGTCCCCTAGGGAAATGATAAGAGGGACGGAGATTATGAAGAAGCAAGAGCTTATTGATGCCGCTGAAGCCAGTGGTCTGTCGCGAAAGGCAATAGGGTACAGTTTCAGCGATTCAGTAAATCGCATGGTTGCTTATTTCAGCTGATATATTAGTGCATCACTAACTATGTCCATTGCACTATGAGCAGCCCAAACAACTACAAATCAAAACAAGGGAATTCTGGTAGTGACTTCTACACTGGATGGAGTTGCATGAAAAACTTAACGGAAAAGGATCTTGTTGTGAAAAAGAGTAACCCTGCAAAGTAATGTACTAGGCTCACCCCCATGTTTATCTTACCTTTTCTATCATTTATTTAATTTGATCTTTTAGAGGGATAGACCCCATATGTTTTGTAGTCACTTATTATATCGTACAAGTATTATTACTTGTTCCATCACAGACTATTGCTTTATACTGTACTATTGCAGCGCTTCTAGGTATTAATTGTGAGCTTTTGCTTAGTCTGATATGGACTCAAACTCAAGGATTGGGGATATCAGAGCTATATAAACTATTGCACTTGTATCCCTGAACTTGACTCCTCTCATTAGAAGGTTCATAGGGTTCTCACGTTTTAGTTATGATCGTGTCTGCACTAGTTTATCTGATTCATGCTCCCACAGCACTCACCAGATACAAAACCCTTTCACCTGTTTTGCTCTGAGTGCGGTGGACTGGATCCCAAAATGTGCCTAACCTCTGATATGCTTCTGCTGATTGGTATATGGGTTTTCTAGTAATTTAACTTCTATCAAGAAACATTTCTACTTGATTTTTTTCCTTTGTTGGTTGGAGGAAGTTTGATATAGTGTGGCAGTAAGTCATATATATGCTAGCAGAGAAGCAACATCTAATAGTTTGCTATTTGATGCTTGTATGCACTCTAGGTAATATAATATCCTCTAATCATTTGAGCAAATGAAGAAAATATATCTGTTAAAGATACAGCTCTCATGTGGCATATCATCAATTTTGTATTGATGGAATAGAAGCAGGCATGTATGATTCCATAGCTCCTTTGAACTTGTTGGGTCCACAATATGAACCTGAAACACGTTTATAACAATCTTGCACATGCGGCCATTTTGGGAATGTTCCAGATATATGCCAGTTTGCTACATGAACCAGATCCTGCTCAGTATTTTGGTCCTACATTTTATTTCCACCCCGAGTACAAGCAGAAGTTCAGTCTGTTCAGTTTACATTTCTTGTTTCTAGCTGGGACTTTATATGCTAAACACACACATTCTGTTGAGATACCAAGCATAAACTTGCGGCTTACTGTATGAGTTTGTTTTAGGTATTACCTAACAGAAAAAGGCAAAGAGACTGCTCGCATTTGTCTCACAAAGTCTGGATTAGATGATCCTGCAGGACCTTTCACGGCGACCGGTCATCCTGAAAGTGTTATGCTCAGTGATTCAGATTCTGATGAACAAGAAGGCAGCAGTCCCCTGATAGGTATTAGTAAAGTTTTCAGTTCATGCAGTATGAGTTTCCAGATAACTGAACATTGTACCCCTGCAGCTCTATCATTAATTTCATTTACTTAATTGCAGGTTCCGAGAATTTTTCTGAAAGGAGTGGACTTCCAAACTCAAAAGCAGGCAATTCCAGTTCTTTTCCTACCAGTATGCTTTCTTTGCAGATAATATTATATTCCATAAACAAAATATTACTCTCTACTGATATTTTTAGTTAATGCCCTTTCAGACAATTGCCGTGCTACTAATTCTCCTCTTTCATCTCAAGGAATGTTCGGACAGCAATCATTTAGTGCAATGGTACACTTGAGTTCCCCTTTGAGTACCCATTTTCTTTTTCAAACGGAGCATAACACAATACTTTCTTTTCCATTGTCAGGGTTCTGCTGAAAACTCTCTACTAGCTATGCCACCTCGTCAGTATGATAAAAGTTTTCTAGATACTTATGAAGTGGTGCTGATATTGGATGATCGAGATACTTTTGGGTTTGTATGATCATACCTTACTCATGAGTTATTGTATATTTTAGCTGTATGTGATCTTTAAGTAGGAATACACACAAATAGGAATTAAATGGCCTACCCTGTCCCTTCAAAAAAACTTTTCAGGATGGTAAGCAACCGAGGATTGGGAGTATGTGTACCTGTTCTCGCTTGCCCACTGTTCGCAAGGGCATTCCTTTCTTCACGTTTAATATATTTTTTCTGTTAAAATGAGGAAGTTAAGGGCTGTCACGTGTTTATATCTACTTACTGCTGGAATTGTGAATTTGACCACACTTTGATTCATGTCCTTGTGTTACTTAAACTATTTAACCTTCTGTTTCTGTTAATGTTTAGTGCGTGCGTTCACATGTATATAAAGTTTTAGATTCTGTATGTTGTTTAATTATCAAAGTTATTTTTCAAGGAAACAAATTGATTGTTGTTACACCAAATAGTTCATCATGTTTTATTTAATCATCCATCTATGCATCAGAATTCAGTTCTCTCATGATTGCTCCTGTTTTGTGCAGGGCCCGTGCCAGAAGAAAAGTTGTGGATAACATACACACGCAGTTTGGTGTACCTGTAAAGGTTAGTTGGATTGAGAGTGAACTCTTCTTTGTTTAACACTACTCGCCCTTTTTTTTCTTGTGTCTAATTCATCAGTACTCTGGGTGTAATCCTTGTACATTTCTTCAGACAACCAAAATACACTGCTAAAAGTTATCACCATGCATCAACACGGCTCTAAATTAAATGCCCTGTACTGCTGGATTAATTATCTTTTTTTTTGAATTTTTTGGATTAATTATCTGATATGTTTGGCCGCTGCCCCACTGTCTTGATGATTGCTGACTGCACTTTTTTCTTGCTTGTGTACAAGGAGACAGCATAAAATAATCTAACAAAGTTGATTTGCGTAGATTGAACTGTTCATATAACGTGCCAAAGAAAATGGTGCTGATCCTTCTGTTCGAACCATGTCATCCAGATTAAACACTTGCCTGTTGGAGATGCTCTTTGGATTGCTCGCCATAAACAACTTGGCACGGAGTATGTTCTTGATTTCATTGTTGAAAGGAAAAATGTGGATGATTTGCTTGGCTCAATTAAAGACAACAGATACAAAGATCAAAAACTAAGACTGAAGGTACCATCTGAACTAGCTTTGAATTTTCTTCCATCTTAACTTTCCCAGTTCTTTATGCTTTCCATTTCTCAGTGATAGTGATAAGAAAATTTGTATCATAGATTATCATTTACTTTATGCGATAATCCTGATCAGTAGTTATGGCAACACAAAACATTGTTTTGATTGTTTTGGTCATGTTGCAAATAAGTTGATGGGCATAGTCATTAGCCTGCATGTCTAAACAGTTAGATCAGTGGCGAAGCCACACTTGACCTGTTAGGTCAATTGACTACACAGATTTTTGTAAATACATCATACAACAAGTAGAAATCAGGCAACAAAATCTTATAAATTCATACATTTGACTACACAACACCCAATTGACTACACATGATATGATTCGTGGCACCGCCACTGAGTTAGATAAAGACCCTTTTTTTTTACTTTGACGAAGAGCAGCAGTGCATCAGATAGGTGCTTCTTTTTATTTTTAGATGAACTTTGTGTAACTTGTATATGATATTTGTTTTTTCTTTTCTTTCTACAACGTGCTGAGTGTCTTTTGACCAGCCATGTTTTATGCCCGCATGCTATCCCCTGTGATTTGATGTTGCTTCAGTCTAATCTTAGCTGAGTTTTTTCTTATTCTTTGTTATGATTAATTGAAAAACATAGCTCATATTTGTTTATGAGATAATGAATGACTATGTTATTAGCAGACATAAGCTTGAACCTGTAGATTGTGCATCTCTTCCCAAAGAAACTGTATTTCTTGTCCATATCTATGGGTTTGCTGGGTTTATTTTAGCAACAATACAATGTGATACTTCCATTTGTTCGACCCTTTGCAGAAATGTGGGCTTAGGAAGCTAATATATCTAGTTGAAGGGGATCCAAACACTGTCGATGGATCAGAGAGCGTTAAAACAGCGTACGTACACTTCTCATGAAGCCTGGGCGATCATGTTTAACCCTGAATAGCAGTACTTTTTCTCGTTTTTTAATATTACCAAGTATCGTTCCTTTCGTTCAGGATGCCAGTTGTATGCCCTATTAACTGTTCCATATGCCTTGTATTTCAGCTGCTTCACTACTGAGGTTCTTGAAGGATTTGATGTCCAAAGAACCAATGGGTATGCTGATACTGAAAAGAAATACGGCCACCTCACACGCTCTATAATTGATTACTACAGAACAAACTTCTCTGCTGGTGCTGACACTTCTCGACTTTGCCTGACCTACGATGAGTTTGTGAAAAGGTCTTCTGACCTTGAGAAGGTCACTGTGAGCGACATATTCGCCCTTCAGCTTATGCAGGTAACTGGGCGGCTACAGCCACCTTCACCAAAGTTTGGAGGGTAGTCCGTTTCATGCCGTAGTTTGCTCATCAATCTTGCATGTAAATCAGGTGCCACAGGTGACCGAAGAAGTTGCTCTTGCCGTGACGAGTCTCTACCCCACTATCCTCTCGCTTGCCAGGGCGTACAAGATGCTTGTGAGTCGTCTTCTCCTTTCAACTTATACAGTGTTCTTTTCATGCAAAGCACTTGATCATACCTGGAATTCCGACCAAATGTGAGCAATGCATGTTCATATCATTCGCTGCTGCTCGTACTAGTAATGTCTCTCTTACCAGAATAATTCAACATGTCTGTAGAACTAAAAGTTTATCCTTGTAACTTTGAAGGATGGTGATAGGCGTGCCCAAGAGGAGATGCTGAAGAACAAGAGCAACATGGTCAACGCGGGGGCTAGCAAGAACATCTTCAAGCTCATCTGGGTCGAATGATGAACTCCTCCCTGTTATGTACCTAGATAGTTTAAACCTTAACGGCTTAACCGGTCGGTCTTTTGGTCACCGTCATGATGATTTCAGCAGACCACCATCGCAGCAGGAGTGACTTTCAAGTTTGGACGGCGAAAAGCAGGAGGGATCCTTTCTCTGCTGTGTGCCTGTTGCCTCACAAAACTGAAAGTATCAGATCATGTAATTACTGCACCTCCTAAAAAACGGCTTAGCGTAGCCTTGCTCCCCGTTTGAATTACTACCAGTAGTATGTTGTAGAATTCCATGCTGCACATTATGGAAGCATCGTGTTAGCCTAGTGCATTAGCGCTTCATGTATATATAGTATTAGTAATTCTTGACTCTGTCGCTTGCATCGCGTGTTGTCTCGTGTCATCTGGTTGCTTGCATGGATGCAATCAAATAAGATGGGTGCAATAGAAATAATCTAGCCGATGACATGGTACGATTTGTGCAAGAAAAAAAATTCCAAGAAATCTGTGTTGGGAGAGGAACAGCAAGCCTGCCTGAGCTTTTTCTACCTTGGTCGCATGGTGGCCTCTATAGGTTGGCAGGTTTGTTGCGGATTTACAGGCAAAAAATCATGCCGCTACTGGAGGCCTAGTTACCGAAGATTATGTCACGTATTTCCAACACAACAAGATTTTGCCTTTGTCGATTCCCAGTTCAACATGAAACTCCCGGTCCCTAGTTTGAATTCCCCCCAACCCAACCAAACGCGTTGGGCAGGTATGAGAATTCAGCCTGCTGACGAAGTAAGGCTCTCTGTGTAGAGCTTGGAGCCCATGGTTTTCGATCCATGTGCTTGCTGAAACCTGAAAGTGTTCCTTGGTCGCGTCCCGTCCGTGGTTCAAAGCCTGTTTGGTCATCTCTGGGCGACTTTCTCTCCGTCGCCATGCTGGGCCTACTCAGAGCAGAGCGTCTCTTTCTTCTCGTTCAGGCCAACTTCACAGCGCGACCCTATCCTATCCGTCTTCGTCCGTTTGGGATAAAAGAGACAAACGAGACGGCTCAGCGCGCGACGGCCCGGACCCATCTGGTCCGTTTTGTGTCCGGGCCGACCCATTTCGAGCGCAAACTTGCGCCGGATTTGGGTCGCCGCGGACACCGAACGGACGCGCCGCTCGTCCGCGTCTGGCCGCGTGGCGGGGCGGCCACCTATCTCCCATCCGCCAACATCAATGTGCACGGGCGGCCGGCCCCACCTGTCATCGGCCCAGTGGAAGGTCGCCGTCCTTCTTAAATGGGACCTGTGGACCGGTCGTCGTCCTCACTTCCCACTCCGGCCCCTCTCTGCCCCCTCGAAAGCCGACACCCTAGAAACCCTAGCCACTCCCAGTCCTCGAACTCGCCGGCCGGCCGCAGCCATGGGCCTTTGGAACTACGGCCGCAAGGGGAAGCACGACCGCGAGGCCGGCTCCTCCTTGGGCCGCCGCCGCGGATCCGTGAAGGAGGAGCAGAACGCGTCACCGCCGCGCTCCTCCCGTCGAGCCCCCGCGCCGGCCCCCTTCACCATTGCCCCTAGGCCCGCCAGCTACCGCGATCGGCAGTACATCTGCGCGGACGTGTGCCGGAGGTACTGGGAGACGAGGACGCCGGTCCCGTGGAGCGACGCCCACCTCCCCAACGGATGGCCCCTCTCCGCGGACCGGGTCCCCATCCCGCCAGTGCCGCCGACCGGCCGTGCCCGGCGCGATGAGATCGTGCGCCTCCGCCACCTCCTCCCCGACGACCTGTACTACGACCACAGGTATGCCCCCGACTCCCCGCTGTGGGACACATGGCTCCAGGACGAGCACGACACGTGGCGCGCGTCCTACTTCGCCGGCACCGTGTCGGGGCCGCGGAGGCCACGTGTAGAGGCGCGCGGGCGTACGCGGGTGCGCGGCCTGACGCCCACGCCGTCGCCTTCGCTGTCTCCGTCGCCCCCTCCACCTTCTCACATGACAGTGGAGGAGGAGGCCCGTCTCCTGCAGCGTGTCATGGACGACTCCATGAACACGCACGACGAGCGGCACTGGAACGACCTGGAGGAGGCCATGGCGCTCTCTGCCGCCGGGGTCGTCGCCTTCCCGGAGCTGCAGATGGCGGCCGTCACGGAGGAGGCGATGGAGGAGGACCCGCCGGCCGCGTTCCAGCAGCTGCTGGGCCAGGGGTGGGGCTGGTCCTGCACTGCTCCGGAGATGGCCGCCGGCGTGGGCGTGAACTGGTGCCCCACTCCGCCGCGCTCACTGGAGCGGGAGGCGTCGCCACGGGAGGAGGTGGTGCAGGCACCTCCGGCCGTCCAGCCCGCCCCCGTCCACCACGCACCTCCGGCCCACCTGTGGACGCCGCCGGCCTACGTCGACCTCGTCAGCGACGACGACGACACCGGCGGCCAGTGAAGACGGCGACGGCCACGACACCGACGGGCGCGGCAGGAGTTTTTTTATTTTGTTTTTGTATGTTAATTATGAAACTGGGCCTTTTAAGTGGCCGTGGAAACTGAGCCGTTTTGTGGCTGACCCCTATATATGTTTTATGTTTTTAAAATGCGTTTATTTACTTTTTTTAGTTATTTCATTTCAGTTTTTATTTTTTTTATTCACGTCCACCGCGGACACGATTTGAGGTGCGGCCGCACGGTGCGCGCGCACACGACCCATCTGACAAAGCCGGACACGGGCGAACCCATCGGCGCCCCAAAGGGACAAAATTCGGCCAATCCGAATGTCCGTTTGAGGTTGTGCGGTGGAGTTGGCCTCAGACGATAAATCTTACCTTTGGCGTGCAGGCGCAGGGGACACGAGAGAACCGTGAAGAAAGAAAGAAATGAAAGAATCGCAGGCCACGCCGCTTTGGTCTAAACCGGATGGGAACAACGGGGTCGCTGGCGTGCGCTTAAATGGCGCTTTGTTGGGTTCGAAAACAGTTCCCCGCCCAGGTGGGCAACGCTCGAGAAAGTCCAAGGAAGAGAGAGGGGCTCGTGATGGAGGCAGAAGGTGGTCGGCCGTGTGCGATGCGTCCAAGGAACCCGGCTCGGTGGCGCGGGCTACCCGACAGCCCCGCCGCTGTCCCTCTGTCTTGTTCCTCCTTTTCAAAGGTCCTACCCTCTGTCCGTGCTCTCGACTTTAATCTGGCTGTTTGTTTGCTTGCTAGTTCCTCCTTTTCCCTCGTCGCTTCCGCGCCGGGACAAACCCAAGTGGAGGGGCCAGCGATGTGCTCGAATTTACTAGGGTTTGGACACTTTTGCAGCTGCTTGTGCTGCCCTCTGCGTGTACGTCTTGCAAACTGCCAAAACGAAATCAATTCGTTTTTGGCCGTACACACGAGCACCATATTTATCTAGCACCTCCTCGCAGCATCGCCAACGGGGCTTGGCTAAGGGTGACGAAATCATTCTTCTAAGCTTTTTGGCAAAATAAAAGGCACAGGTTGACAAGTCTAAGAAAATCTTGACACACTTTTTAAGTGTATGTGATGTAGGACTCTAGTGTGATTTGCCTAAGATGTGGCTTGAACTAAACACACACGCAAGTCAGTCAAACTTGCCTAATTTTAAGTGTGGCAATCTTAGTCTCAAATCAAACAGCCCCTCAGTTTGCCACACCTAAGCAGAGGCAGGCTGACGAGCCACGGAAAGTGTGGCGGCTAAAATCTTAGGCGAAAATGAGTGCCACATTTTTAGCATGGCTAGCAAAGGCTAGGACCAAACAACCCCTCAATACCTTGGTTTAGAATTTCTTTTTCATATTTGATTTTTTTGTCACGCCAGCATCCTGGCATCTCAGTTGCACATGAGACGCCGGGGTGCCTGCTATTTCACGTGTGATCCATGCTTTGCAATGTCTCGTTAACCATCCTACATGCCAATGGGTAAATGTCAGGAACCTCGGCGCCCGCCTCCTAAACGTCACTGGCCATGGTGTTTTGGTCTGATAAGTGATCCACCCGCATGTAGGGGAACGTTGCAGAAAACAAAAAATTTCCTACGGTTTCATCAAGATCCATCTATGAGTTCATCTAGCAACGAGTGATCGGATTGCATCTACATACCTTTGTAGATCACGCGCGGAAGCGTTCAAAGAACGGGGATGAGGAAGTCGTACTCGATGTGATCCAAATCACAGGAGATCCTAGCGCCGAACGGACGGCACCTCCGTGTTCAACACACGTACGGTCAGTGTGACGTCTCCTCCTTCTTGATCCAGCAAGGGGGAAGGAGAGGTTGAAGAATATCCAGCAGCACGACGACGTGGTGGTGGATGCAGGGCGTCACCGCAGCAGGGCTTCGCCGTTAGACTGCGAGAGGGAGAGGTGTAGCAGGGGAGAGGGAGGCGCCAAGACACAAGGGTGCGGCTGCCCCTCCCTCCCTCCCTTTTATATAGGCCCCCTAGGGGGGCGCCGTCCCTAGGAGATGGGAACTCCTAGGGGGGGGGGCAAGGGGTGGAGTGCCCCCCAAGCCAGGTGGGGCGCCCCCCTCCCTAGGGTTCCCAACCTAGGCACAAGGGGTGGGCCTAGGGGGGCGCACCAGCCCACTATGGGCTGGTTCCCCTCCCTACTTTGGCCCATGGGGCCCTCCGGGATGGGTGGCCCCACCCGGTGGACCCCCGGGACCCTCCCGGTGGTGCCGGTACAATATCGTTGACCCCCGAAACTATCCCGATGGCCGAAACTGCACTTCCTATATATAATTCTTCACCTCCGGACCATTCCGGAACTCCTCGTGACGTCCAGGATCTCATCCGGGACTCCGAACAACTTTCAGGTTACTGCATATTCTTATCTCTACAACCCTAGCGTCACCGAACCTTAAGTGTGTAGACCCTACGGGTTCGGGAGACATGTAGACATGACCGAGACGGCTCTCCGGTCAATAACCAACAGCGGGATCTGGATACCCATGTTGGCTCCCACATGCTCCTCGATAATCTCATCGGATGAACCACGATGTTGAGGATTCAAGCAACCCCGTATACAATTCCCTTTGTCAATCGGTACGT